GACCACTGACAAGACTTCTTGAAATACAGCAGGTGATTCGAGAAAAAAAAGGAAATTAGCGGTGTGAGTTGGTGAACAGAAAATTTAAGAGCGCCATTTACACTGAGTAAAAGAAAGTCAAGAAAAGGTAATTTCCCTGAATCTTCCAATTCTACGTTAAAATTGATAGTACAAGCGAGATTGGTTTATGTGTGTGTGTTTGTATACATACATACATACATACATATATATATATATATATATATATATATATATATATATATATATATATATATATATATATATATATATATATATATATATATATATATATATATATATATATATATATATATATATATATATACATATATATGTATGTATGTATGTATATCTATCTATCTATCTATATATCTATATCTATATCTATATCTATATCTATATCTATATCTATATCTATATCTATATCTATATCTATATTTATATATATATATATATATATATATATATATATATATATATATATATATATATATATATACATACATATATATACACATATATGTATGTATATACACACACATACATATATATGTATATATGTATGTCTGTGTGCGTGTATGTATATGTATATATATATATATATATATATATATATATATATATATATATATATATATATATATATATATCGTGTGTGTGTGTGTGTTTGTGTGTGTTGTTGGACTGTGACACGGCATTAAAAGAATCTAATCTCCTTATCTTAAATCCCCTAGATCAGTTCGATTTTTATCATTCTATAAAGATTCAACATAAATCAGTGTATATACACAATCACACACAAACGCACATGCGCGCGCATGTATATATGTAGTGAAGATATGATATTAGTAACCTTAAACACTGCAGCAACATATCTTGGCATGCCTCGAATTTACCGGCGGGCCTTTTCCCTGATTTTGTATATCTTTAAATCAATCGTCCAGTCAACTCAGATTTGTTAGTACGCTTTATTTGGCCTATCTCGCCTCTCATGTCTTTCCATACACATTCTCAGGAATTAAATTTAGACTGTTTCTTGGCCAATCATGATTATCCAAATGGATTTTAGTATTCTTGGCCATGAGAATGCAGTCATTAACTGAGAACCACTCTCGAAGCTAGGACAGAAGACGTCTATCAATGATGTCACGATATCCAACTTGATTTATATTACCTCCTACAACATCAAATTTTCCAGTGCCCAGAGACCACATATCACGCCATCACCTTATAGGGATTCTTGTTCTCTCTGGCAGTCGGAGTGGTCCTTCTCTTCGCTGGTTCTTCTACCAAATTTCCTTTCAAATGAGAGAAACAATCCTGCAAATAAAAATAATAGGGAAGGAGAGAAGGTTGTGAGATTCGAGGTACCACATGGTTAATCATCCTTTCTTATCATTTGCATAGGCAACTAGGAGGGCGATGTGACGGTAATCTTGAGGAAGGGTACCAGAACTTGGGACTCAGATGTAACTGTTACAAGGCGCGAATAAAACTTTGCCCACTTGTTTTTGAAGACATTCCTGGAAAAGAAGGGTATTATCAGAGTAAGGTAGCTGTGGTGGACACCACAAACATCGATCCAATTTGGCTGGGATAAAAACAGTACTTAGAAGTTTTATACAGGTGGAAATAGTAAAGGGACAAGGACGAGAGGACGAGGAAGGGGTGTGGAGTAAGGTAGTCCTGTGGGGAGGAGAAAAAAAAAGAATGAAGAGTAGTAAGAAGGATGGGACAAAATGAAGATTGTGTAGGGGGTGGGGTTGGAGTGATGGACGCTGGGATAAAACCAGAGGAAGGGAAATCTTCTAAAGATTTGAATTATATCTGGATGGATGATCCGAGATGGGTTAAGTTGACAGCAAGTGTAGAGGAGGGGAGTGACTAGCATAATACTAGCCTTTCACGGCTCTCACGGCTTAGGAAGTGGACAGGAAAAGGAAAGGGGAGAAGAAAAGACCCGGGCGAGATGGTTGTACAGGGGGTGAATACTAAGGTATGAGAGAATCCCTACATTGGCCCTCAGTCTTCGTCTCCTATGCCCCCCCCCCTCCCACAACCAAAACAGGCATGGGAGGGGGAGGGGGGATAGGAATATGAATAAATAATATATATAAAAAACAAGGAAAGGGGTAAACTGGTGAAAAAGTTAAGACTACTAATTAACGCCTTGCTGACTCAGCACTTATACATCCATTTATATGACTTGTAGAGCCATCTGTGTGTAAACACAATTAATAAGCTAAATTCACAGTGGGTATGGTATGTTTTTATGTGCCATCCCCGTCGGCAGTGGGTTAACATTATTACTTTTACCCATATCATCATTGCAATACTATCACTAATAGTAACAAAAACTAATAAGTTTCTTCCAAAAATTCAAGATACGAGTGAAATGCATTAAGTCACGTAATTGAGTCCCTGGTGATTAATGGTTCATGAAACAAATACATGTGCTAAACGTCAAAGGTCATATAGCACTATGGTAACGTATTGTGGAGAAAAGGGTAAAAGTGAGTAAACAATTGGGATAAATTGTTTTAAATGTCAAAGTCTGTAGAGCGCTGTAGGGCAGTATGGCAAAAAAAAGGGTAAAGTGGGGAGAGCAAATGGTGTAGGCAGAGATTAGTAAAAGGGGAAGGGGTTAAGGGCATAGAATGATTAGATCAAATGGAGAGTGTCTCTGTGTCTGAAGAAAACTGCAATAGAGCCATTATGAAACAATCAACGGGTAAGAAGGGTAAAAATGGGTATTGGAGAAATAAGAGGGCAAGAATCCGGGGAATGAGATACAGAACAGGGGAAGGTGGTGAAGTATCAGGAAGAATATCAGAAGGGAGAAGGATACTGTTGCGACCAAGGTAGTTTGAACCAAGAAGCCCCACTCCGTCTTGATTCAAATCCTAGTTGGCAATTTCCGAGTTAAGCCCCACCACTTTGACTTCATTTATTGTAAACATTAAATATTTCTTTTATTTCCTATTTTCTTGGAATCGTTTTCTTTCACCTTTTTACCATTGCTATTATAACTATTTTCAAAGAAAATGCACTGATAAACACCATAAAATATCGCAGATTGACCAGGTCAAATAAAGGTGGAGCTAATGACATCATCACGTTTAGCCAACGAGAGTGCACTGACAGATATCAGATATAGCTAGATACATAATTATTTGTATAATTTACTCGATATTGTTATAATTATCAGAAGTAATAAAAACAATATGTTAACGAAGAGTTCCCTAATATTAACAGCTGTCAGAAGTCAATTTAATTTTGGGGTCAAACAGGGCAAATGGAAGTGGAGCTAACTGCTTATATGTTCCTTGGTTGTGAACATCCAGGTGGGTAATAGGGAAAGAAGAGGGAATGTTACCCATGGAGAAGGGGAGGATGGGAGAAAGTGGGATAGTGGGAACTTGAGAGCAGAGCAATTTGAAGGGTCATGACCAGGTTGGGCACATAGAGGGAGCGGGCAAGGTGGCCAAAACGCCAATATTTCTGACACTGATGGGGAAGGGGTTGATATAGTCAGACAGGGCAGGACAAATACAAACCAATACAAACATGCGGGAGCTTATCTCTACAGACGTTAATCTTGGCAAAATTGGTGTAGGACTTACACTGGCCTCTGTGAGCTGTGTAACAGTGCATCATAGACAATGTGATAGGCAAGTAGGTCGTTTTCAGAGTCAGGACAATCAGTCTGGGAGATGGAAACAATTTTCGTATTACTGTAAGTCCGATATGCGAAGCTGAGCCACGCCCGGGCTATGGGGGAGCCCGGCCTGTGCCGACTAATGTCGACTCGCTAACAGTGTGTCAGCAGGTGCTGACTCGGATGAGCTTAGTCCTTACCCACCGTGGTGCCCAGCCACAGCAGTAACCTCCAGGCGAAAATTGCAACTTCTCGCGCCTGGGCGGGGCGCGAACCGCCGACCCCTCGGAAGAGAGGCCGACACGTCACCACTGTACTAGCCCGGAGGCTCGTATTACTGTAGGAGTGAGATTATGCAGGAATAGGCTTACCAGTGTGGTCAGTCAGGGTAGATGGTGCACAAGCTTGGAAAACTTTGCTGACTTGTTTTGGGGGACACTGTTGGAAGACAATGGGGTATAGAGTGAATCTAAGAGAATCGATTCCACTTTCCTCGGCTAAAAGCAATACTTAAAAAGTTGGCAGAAGTGGAACCAATAGAAGGACGAGGTGGAAAGGAAGAGGGGGTGGTGTGGAGTGTTATATTATGGGGAGGAGGGTGAATAGTAGTAATAATGGAGGAGGGGGTAGACAAAGAAGACTACAGTAGGAGATAGAGTGGAGGATGACTGGAAAGATGGCAGGGTGTATTCTGAAAGTTGAGTAATGACGTGGGTAAATGATACGGAACTGATAGAGTTGAAAGTAAGCATTGAGTGGATGGAGCCTTGGTCAAAGGAGCAGCAGGGGTTGGGAAACCAGTGAAGTCAAATTTAGGGGCAAACCTTAAAGCCCTCAATTAGGGTACAAAATCATCTTTATTAGCCATGGTGAGCCTGAAATATGTGGAGAGGAGAAATGGTTTACCCTCAGGTTCACATAAGGGGTATGGGCTAGGGCTACGTGATTACCAAGGGAATATGGTTCAGTTCAGAAATAACTCAACGCCAGTTTCATCCTTTCAGCATGGCTCTCAAAGAGAAAAAGACCATGTAAAATTAGTTGAGGGGAGGGGTAGTGGTGATATACTTGCATAGTAATATAAGTAAAATAAATTATGACACAAAACCACAGTCGATGATCCATGACATACATGCACTACTGGCATTAATGTGTTAAGGTACAAGTCAGTAACCAGTTCTTTTTATGCAATTGATGCAGAAAAATTGTGCACTTCTAAAGTGATTTTATACAATTTACTCTAAGGATTAATAAACTTGTAAAAAAAATAAATATTTTCAACATCTACAAGATACAGGACAAGAGAAATAAAAAAACAAAAAAATACAAAAGACATTTATTCCTTTAAAATACTACACAATAGTGGAAAGATTCTTACATACAATTATCATTTCTCAAGACAATATAAAAGGAAAATACTGTTCATAAATGGAACATATACATTTTGAAATCCTTATTACTGTTTTGGTAAAAAGCAAAATTCATACGAATTTTTACATTTTTCAATACAGATACATGGGCCTAAGTTTACATACTGCTATCTATATTCCTTTCAAACCAGAAATTCTATTAATTGTTCCTTATTCCCAATGCTTGTTCCAGTTCAGCACGTTTTTGCTGAATCTTGCTATAGAAGTAACGGTTGACTGCCTCGTGCATCCATGGCTGGAAGTAGTATTGTGCACGACGTTCTTCTTCTGGATTTCCAACTACATCAGTCATAGTCTTCAAATCTCGATTCTGAAATAAATCAAGTTATTCAATTAGCTGCTGC